CTGCTAGGTGAATCCTACTATTTCTCAGGTCTGCGATTTCCACACCATCTTAATGTTGAAACATATATTACCCTCTCTATTCTACTCATTGGTCTGTAAATGTTTTGGAATACAAATCTCATCAACTTCAGAGGAGTTACTCAGACATTAGCATTAAGCCCTAAATATTCGGGTTCTCCTGTTAATAAAAAAAAGGCAGAAGCATATTTCCAGAAACATAGTATATTTCTCTTTGGTACACTAATCACTAAACTCTTTTGAAATAAATTCTTTCTAAACCATAGTTTTCAATAATGCATATGCATTTTAGTGGCATAATTGTATAAACATAAGCATATTAGCATTAAGAAAACAATCAGTAGCACAGATTTGACAGAACCACGTATTAGTCAAAGCTTCTTTGATGGTAAGGAACCAACATCAGATCTGACTGATTGAAACTAGAAAAGAATTTACTGTGAGGATATTGGGTGTCTCACCAAAGTGAAGAACCAATGGACCAACCAGACTTTGGAAAGGGCTGGAATTAGGTAGCTCTAGGGATCTACAGAGTGAAACATATCAGGCAGGATGTTTTTCCTAGGTACTACTATCAAAATAGATTAGCTCCTGCTACCTTGCCTTATTCTTTTATCAGCTCTAGTAGTTTTTGTGTAGAACCTTTAGGTTTTTCTACATACAGCATCATGTCATCTGCATATAAGGACAATTTTACCTCTTCTCTTCCAATTTGGATTCCTCTTATTTCTTTTTCTTGTCTAATTTCTATGACTAGGATTTCCAATACTATATTGAATAGAAGTGGTGAGGGTAGACATCCTTGTCTTGTTCCAGATTTTAGCAGGAAGGCTTTTAACTTTTGACCATTGAGTATTATGCTGGCTGTAGGTTTCTCATAAATAGCTTTTATTATGTTGAGATATGTTTCCTGTATACCCACTTTGGTTAGAGTTTTTATCATAAATGGGTGTTGGATTTTACCAAATGCCTTTTCTGCATCTATTAAAATGATCATGTGATTTTTGTCCTTTCTCTTGTTGATGTAGCGTATCATGTTGATTGATTTGCATATGTTGAACATCCTTGTGTCCCTAGGATGAACCCAACTTGATCATGGTGTATCTTTTTTATGTGTTGTTGGATTCTGTTTAATATTTTGTTGAGAATTTTTGCATCTATGTTCATCAGTGATTTTGGCCTGTAGTTTCTTTTGTGTTGCATTTCTTTACACTAACAAGGAAATATCAGAAAAAGAAAGTAAATACAATCCCTTTTAAAATTATATCCAAAAAAAAAAAACACTTAGGAATAAATCTGACCAAGGAAGTGAAAGACTTATATGTGGAGAACTAGAAAACATTTACTAGGGAAATTAAAGATGACTTAAAAAATGGAAAGATATCCCACGTTCTTGGATTGGAAGAATCAATATTGTTAAAATGGCCATACTACCCAAAGCAATCTATAGATTTAATGTGATCTCTATCAAATTACCCAAGACATTTTCCATAGAACTAGAACAAATAATCCTAAAACTTGGAATCACAAAAGACCCAGAATTGTCAAAGCAATACTGAAGAAAAAGAATGAAGCTGGAGGAGTAACCCTCCTAGACTTCAGACAATACTACAGGGCTACAGTAATCAAAACAGTGTAATATTCGTACAAAAACAGACATAGATCAATGGAATAGAATGTTTATAGCAGCACCATCTACAATAGCCAAGACATGGAGACAACCTGAATGTCCATTGACAGATGACTGGATAAAGAAGCTGTGGTATATTTATACAATTGAATACTACTCAGACATACAAAAAATAATAAAATAATGCCATTTGCAGCAACATGGATGGACCTGGAGATTGTCATTCTAAGTGAAGTAAGCCAGAAAGAGAAAGAAAAATACCACATGATATCACTTACATGTGTACTCTGAAAAAGAAGTAGACAAACAAACTTACTTGCAAAACAGAAACAGACTCACAGATACAGAGAACAAACTTGTGGTTACCGGGGTGGGGAGGAGTGGAGGGGATAAACTGGGACTTCGACATTTGCAGATACTAATATATATATAAAATAAACAATAAGTTCATACTATATAGTGCAGGGAACTGTATTCAATATCTCCTAGTAACTAATGGTGAAAAAGAACATGAAAACGAATATACGTCTGTATATGTATGACTGAAGCATTGTGCTGTACACTAGAAATTGACACAACATTGTAAACTGACTCTACTTCAATAAAAATATATATACAAAAACAAAGAAAATAAATTATCTTCAGTATTTTTCAGATCTCATCACTGTGCTCAACTTTCTAATTTCTGCTGTCATCTGGCATGGGCCACTTTTTGGCAAGAGGAAGGTATGACGTAATTGACAGTTCCACTGAGACCGCTGCAGTGACGGCTGGTAATGGGAAGAGATTCAGAGTTTTCCAAAGGAAAATCAGGTGCTATTACTAAAAGAATAGGGGGTATTGACGCTGAGCTGGAAAAAGAGCAGATATCCACTCAAACCCTTTTAGCTGAAATGAATTTGGCTGTAATCTTCTTACCTAGAACCATTGCACAATTTAAATGAATGCTACAAACATTTGGGCATTGTCTTAGCCTGCTCAGACTTCCATGACAAAATCCAGCAGATTGGGTGGCTTTTACAACAGAACTTTATTTTCTCACAGTTTTGAGGTCAGGGTGCTGGCAGGTCGGGTTCTGGTGAGAGCTCTCTTCTTGTTTGTAGACGGTCGCCTTCTCCCCGTGTCCTCACATGGTCTTTCCTATCTCTCTCTTTCCATTAAGGCCACCAGTCCTATTGGATTCGGACCCCCAATCCTATGACTGCTTTTAATCCTAATTATGTTTTAAGAGTCCTATCGCCCAGTACAGTCACATTGAGGGGTAGGGCTTCAGCATATAAATTTGGAGAGAATTCAGTCCTTGACAGATACTAACAATGGGACTCACAATTTGCTAACTCTCGTTTCATAGTCTTCTTGTTCTCATGCACACATCTGACTGCAAATTCTGGTAAATATGTGCCATTTTCTAAGTTATCTGTCTGGGGTTTGTCATGCTCTCTGGGGAGCCCTGCCTCTCCTCCTCCTGGACCAGGAAACACACTGTGCTCAAAGCCAGAGGCCCTGTGTCTAACATCCATGTGCCCGGCTGGCTTGTCCGAGTCCGTTACTTTTCTGCATTTCAGCTCTGCTGCACCCAGTGCTCCAGTCTTGGTAGTGCTGCCTCTTCTGTTTTTCAGACACCCCAACAGGAATTGCTTAGAGACGCCATGTGGAATCATGGAAACGTGGAAGTCAGAACACCTGCGTTCTCTTCCTGGCTCCCGCACTTACAAGCTGTGTGCCTTTGGGGAAATCACTTAACTTCACTGAGTTAATCTATGCCACAAGGGTGCCTTGCTTTCTTAATTGCAAATTTGGGGCTAGGTGTTGAGAAGTCAGTGATACATGTGGTGAAGGAAAAGTGAAGGATGCTATGAGAGCAGGTGGGAGGGTGAGGAGTGGGCAATGAATCTGGCAGGGTAGGTTCAGAAGGCCTCCCAGAGGAAGTGACCTTTGATAAGGAAAATGAAGGATGAGCAGGAGTTACCTAAAAGTACTGTGAGGGAAGCGTAGGGGAGGAAACACATTCAGGACGGAGGCAACATCTCTGTCCCAGGACCGGTGTTGGGAGTAAGAAGACTTGCTCCAATATGTGTTTTCAAAAGATCACTCGGCTTAGAAAATGGAGGAGTATTGGGAGAGGGGTAGGGGTGGCTAAGGCTGGATCAGAGAAGTGGCTCGGGAGCACAGTGGTTTGGAAGAGGATGGGGAGAGCAGCGATAAACAAACGTGTCAGTCATTTCTAACCAAGATAATCATGCCTGCCGGTTACATTACACCTACTGGATTGGTCCAGAGTGATTATTTCCTGAGTAATGAAGTCAACAACATTCATCAAACAGGTGCTGAGGACGGGGCTGTGAACGAAACACAGACTTTGCCCTCACACAGCTGACTCATGAATAAAATGGTTTACATTCTAGTGGGGTTGTGGTCGGGTCAAATGAGGTATGTAAATTATCCAAACAGGAAGCCTTGGGACCTCTAGTTCACTGCTTTCCAGAGAATATTGGTTTTCAACTTCTGCCCTGTGTTAGGTTTCTGTGGTTGCTGTAACAAATGACCCCAAATTTAGTGCTCAGAACACCACAAGTGTATTACCTTCAGTTCTGGAGATCAGAAGTCCGAAATGGATCTCACTGGGCGAAAATCAAGGCAAACAGCAGAGCCGCATCCCTTCTGGAGGCTCTAGGGGAGAATTTGTTTCCTTGGCTTTTCTGGCTTCTGGAAGCCGCCTGCATTCTGGACTCAGGCCCTTCCATCCTTCGAGCCAGCAACAGCCAGTCACGTCTGTCCCACATCCCATCACTCTGACACTCACTCTCCTTCCTCTCTCTTTCACTTATGAGGATTCTTGCTGCATTGGGCCCACCTGGATAATCCAGAAAATTCTCCCCACCTGAAGTTCCCTCACTTAATCACATAGGCAAAATCCTGTTTGCCACTTAAGGTAACGTGTTCACAGGTTCTGGGGCTGAGAACAGGGCCGCCTCTGGGGGCAGGGCTGCCTTCTGCCCACCCCACTCCCAGAGCAGCGTTCGTCTGTCCAAATCATGATGTGCAATCAAGTTTTCTTTTTTCCCTTTTATTTTATTTTTCTTAATTTTTAAAAATTTTAAATTGAAGTATATAGTCAGTTACAATGTTGTGCCAATTTCTGGTGTACATATAGCATAATAATTCAGTCATACATGTACATACTTATAAATATATATATTTGTTTTCATATTTTTAAGTTATAGGTTACTACAGGATATTGAATATAGTTCCATGCTATACAGTAGAAACTTGTCATTTATCTATTTATATATAGTAGTTAGTATCTGTAAATCTAGAACTCCCAGTTTATCCCTTCCCCCCCACCACTGGTAACCATAAGTTTGTTTTTTATGTCTGTCTGTTTGTTTTATAAGTAAGTTCATTTGTCATTATTTTAGATTCCACATATAAGTGAAAGTTTTCTCTTCTCTCCTTTTTGTGTTGTTCTCAAGGTGTGACTGAGCAGTAAAGTGAAACACAGGGACAACCAAGCTGGACCATCTCTTTTTCCTGTGTCTGAGAGGTTTTAAGAGAATCACAGAGAGCTCCCTCTCCGTAAGAGGGTCTAGTGTCCGAGCCACGGACCACTCCCGGTGCTGCCGGGGAGCAGAGGAACACAGAGCGCCCTGCCCTCGTGTGTTGCCTCCTGTGTGACAGGGACAGGTGCTGGCTGTGCAAAGCTGTGCTGAGAAATGGGTCAGGAGAACACACTTTCTGGCCCCATGGCTTTATGGTTTGCCATACACCATGCTCATGGGTCTCCCAGTCCGATTTGCTTCTTCATTGAAAATGATACTCCATTTCCCCCAGCCTCTGAGAAGGCCCCTGGGAGAAGCAGCCAGGCTAACTTCAGGTGGGACGGGCCTTATCTTTGAATGACCAACACACAAGAGGCACCCAATACGCACTATCCGCTTTCCTGGACGCACAGGGCACTTCTTTCTTCCTGTCTCAGCCATTTTCAGAAGCTCGCTCTCCACTTTCCTGCAGTCCTTGTAATCAGCATCATCTCATCCACACCTTTCAGCGGCCGGCAACACGATGCTGCACCCCGGCCCCCCGGCCCTAGCTCCCTGCTGCCGCAGTGTCGGCTCTCAAGGGCTCCAGCTGAAGAGCACAGGCTGCCTCTGCCGGGAACGAGGTCTTCTTTCCCACACTCTGAGCAGAAAAACAGGTGAAAGGGAGGTGGGGACGGGCCTCTCTTCCCCTTTCAGAAACCGGGCATCAAAACCCTGCTAGGATTTCCACGCCGTACTCCACTGTGCACTGCGGTCCACAGTCTAGGTCTTTTCTTTCAAAGTTAAAATTGATTCACTAGGTAATAAGTAGACGATTCCTCCTCAGGCTTCCCAGCAGAATCATGTATGTTATTAGTAGCAGTCAGCAGGCCTTTACAACTGGAGACAGGCTGATGTTCTGCCTGTCTGGAGGTGTGAAATCCAGGGCTACTTCCCATGGCCTCGAATAGGTGGCAGGGCCAGGGGAAAATGGGGCCATTTGTGTCTCTGGTCCCTTGCCTGGATTTGTCCCTATGAGGAACTGCTCTTTAATTCTTGCACAAGAAAACCATAGCTCATTAAAACTAGCTAGACATAGAGAGCATAAAAAACTACATTTTAAAACCCTGACTGCCTTAGGGTTTAGCAACCTGCCTAGTCAAATTGCCCTGGTGTTGACCTTCAAGCAAAGCTGCCTCTGTCAATAAATCACCGGGTGGCCTGGTCCAAGCATCTGGGAAGTTTGTGTCACTTCGGCTGGTCACCTGCAGTTTCAGCAGTCAAGTGCAGGCTTGGTACCAAATAGAGTGAGCATCCGGGTTGCAGGGTTGCTGAGCTGCTGAGGTGGGGAGATCAGCTGAATTCCTTTAAAAGTCCACCTCTGGGCCCCAGAGTCGTGTATCTCGGAAGGGTCTGTGTGGTAGATAAACAGTAGCACCTTATTTCAACAGATGAGCTCAGAAGAATTTTAAGTGAAATCTTATATTATTATTATGGTTGTTACAATCGTCTTTTAGGAATCATAACAAATCCTTTTAAAACACAAATAATCATCTTTTAATTTTACCTCATCTAGAAATGCTAATTTTCATAGACTGGAAAATGGTTATCTGTCTAGAGAATAGGGTGCAGGGGTAAATAAACCATTTAGCTGCAATACAGTTAAAGTGTTGAGAGTGGCTCATTTCTGTTCCCACTCCTGGTGAATCTGTTTTGTGTGTCCCAGCTTGAAGAATGTTATGGAGGACACGGACAAACATCTGAAGACAATATATCAGCTAGGCAGCCTAGGCTCCTCTAGGGTGCAGTATTTAAGGAGATGGTGACAATTGAATAAGCCAGGGAAGGACGCAGTGACCTTGCAGCCCTGATGGCTTCACTTCCCAGGAGCATCCAGGCACAACATTTCTGCCCGTCCTCTGGGACAAGGCAGGTAATGAAAAGCAGGAGAGGATGCATTCTTCAGAGATCAAAAGCAACAAAAAATAGAATGTGTCAGGAGCTGACTTGATCTACCGAAGTCCACACTTAATGTTCTTCCTTCTCCCAGGGATGAAAACGACATTGAACATTTAACAACACACAGCGAATGCAGTCCCAGTTGGAAGGAGAGGGGCATTCAGTAAGCAAGAATGGACTTCACACTCTAGACCCAGCAGTAAAGGAGAAGGAAGTCCTTGAAGTCAGAAGACACACAAGCTAAAGGTCAGCTTCGCCGGGATCGCTACTTCCATCCAGTATGCCGCTCACGCATTTACAAAACCCACTTAATGCTCACAGAGATCCTGGAGCGTGGCTCTTGCTGGTTGAATTATGTCTTCCTGAAAGTCATGTTGAAATCCTAACCCTACCACCTGTGAATGTGACCTTGTTTGGAATGAGGGTCTTTGCAGACGTAACCAAGTTAAGATGAAGTCATGCTGAATTAGAATGGGCCCTGACACAGTGACTGGTGTCCTTGTAAAATGGGGAGAATTTAGACACAGAAAGAGGAGAGACTGCTATATGAAGACACAAACACACAGGGGAGACAGCCGTGTGAAAGCGAGAGTGATGCAGCCGAAAGCTGAGGGGGCTGCGGTTCCAGCAACCACCAGAAGCTGGGGGGTGGGCAGGGAACGGATTCGCCCCCTGTGCAGCCAAGGAGGAACCAATCCTGCTGACGCCTCTGGACTTTCAGCCTCCAGAATTGTGAAAGAATACATGTTAGTGTTTTTAAAAAATTTTAATTAAAAATTTGGGGGGGGTAATTAGGTCTATTTATCTATTTATTTTTAGAGGAGGTACTGAGGATTGAACCCAGGACCTCGAGCATGCTAAGCATGTGCTCTACCACTTGAGCTATCCCCTCTCCCCATTTCTGTGGTTTTAAGGCACCCAGTTTACAGTACTTCATTCTGGCATCCCTCAAAACATAATACTGTGGGTGATATACTTTCAATTGTATGGAAGAAAAATGCAGGTTTCAGAAATGTTAGGAAACTTGCCCAGGATTACATAGCCAGCAGAAGGTTAATGTGGAGACTTAAAACCCAGAGCTGTGACTTCAAATCCTAGGCCCTTCCCCCACATAACCTCTAAAAATAGTTGACATGGAGGTGAAGAAAAGAGATGTGTAGAAATTCACTTCTGGGTATATATGCAAAAGTATTTAAAGCAGGGTCTCAGGTATTTGCACACCTGTATTTATAGCAGCATTATTTGCAATGGGTAAAAGGTGGAAGCAACCCAGATGTCCATGGATGGGTGAGTGGATAAACAAAATATGGAATATACCTACAATGGAATATTATTCAGCCTTAAAAAGGAAGAATATGCTGACACATGCTACAACATGGATAACTGTGGGGGACATTTTGCCAACAGAAATAAGCAAGTCCCAGAAAGACAAACACTGTCCGATCCCACTTACATGAGGGCTCTAGAGCAGTCAGATCCCTAGAGACAGAAATTAGAAGCTGGATGCTGGCGGCTGAGGGAGGGGGCAGTGAGGAATTGTTTAATGAGTACAGAGTTCAGTTTTATAGGGTGCATAGAGTCCTGCAGATTGGTTTTACAGCAGTGGAAATGTACTCAACGCTACTGAACTATACACTTAAAATGATTATATGATAAATTTTATGTGTATTTTACCACAATTTAAAAAAGAGAGAAAGGGAGATGTGGAGGGAGCTTGCTCTGATAACATGACTGTTAGGTTGGCCTCGCAATGCAAAGGCAGCCAGATTGGTTTCCACACTCAGGAAAATACTGCTTCTGCCTGCCTGGGGCCGGCACCCTAGGGATGCCTTCGAAAAGGTGTCACCTGCCTTCCTCCATGAGGTCACCTGCTTTCCTCCCGGGAGCCCTGCCACCCTCTGACAGGTGTCGGCCTTGCCCTGCACCCCAGCACACACCCCGTCAGCACACACAGTTCCCCCAAACTGCTGTTCGAGGCAGGGGTACCTCATCCACCCAGACTTACCGTGCTGCCTTCTTCTCTCAAAACACATGGGGAACGCATCCCCCAACTGTTAGTGGGAGAGCCATCTTCCTTGCTCTGCTTCCTGATTTTGCTGGCTTGTGGCGAAGAAGGGAGTTGTGGGGGTTCCTTCCACGGACTGGTCTCTTCACCTCCAGAGTCATGCTCCTTGGTAACAGAGCCGTGGCCCACTGGCGGCTAAGAGATGACTTCAGTTCTGTTTGCCTGGTGGGAGCTGAGGGCTGAGCTGCCGCAAGCTCTAGAATGGTGGCCCCTGGTCTGCAGGGGGCGCTCTCTCAGCAGTCTAGATGGGTGAGACATGCTTCTATCCTTGCCTGTGACTTCACTTGTGTTTGTGTCATTGACATACACATTTACAGTCTGATTCACTTGGTGTTTACAACCCACTCTTCTGAAAGTTTAAGGGGTGCAAGGGGGCATCACAGATGGATAAACATCATGTTACAGGAATGTGTTGGTTACTCGCCATCTGGCCCTCTGGGTCTGCTCTCCACGCTTCTCTGCTGGCCTCTAAGGATGACATGTTCAGTGTTCCCCTTGCCCTCTGGCTTCCAACTGGGTTCAGCCCCTGGAAGCTCTGGCGGGGGACGACAGGTAGGAGGAGAGTCCGTACATGTAGGCACTCTCTCTGCTCCCTGGTGGCTGGCCTGTGACCGACCTTCTCCACTGAGGACACAGATCCTGTTAGGGCAGAGCAGGGTGGTCTCTTCTGGCTTTGGAGCTCCCAGAGCTCCAGCAGCAGCTTCCTCCTGTCTAATGGCCAAGCTAAATCATCTCAGCAATGAGTTTGATGTCCTATATTTGAGAGAAAAGAGTCAGAGGACTGGGGAGCACTCTTCCCGAGGGAATTTAAGCAAGGGTGAGTTTTATGGAGCCTTAGAAGTCACAACGTGGAAACAGGGCATGACTGGCTGGGATTGTATATCTGACCTTACGTAGAAAGATCAAGGAATAAGGAAACAAGTGTAGCGCCCAGAGTTGGCTCGGCGTCTGGGGATCGGATGACCGCATGGACTGTGTTTCTGGTCCAGTGGAGCATTTGCGGAGACAGGAAAGTTTAGTTTGCTGACGTGGTTCTGGGCAAGAGCGGCTCCATCTTGGGCCTAGAAATTTGTTTCAACATCCTTCTTACCTTTGGGACTTGGGGTGTCACAGCTCCCTGTGGTTGCTGGGCCCTGGGTGCCTCCTTATCTTTCGCTGGCTTCTTCAATTCCTGCCCACACCTCCATAAACAGCTCTATTACTAATTTCATTACTAGTCTCTTCAATTACTCCTTTGGGTACCATCTGATTCCTGCTGAGACTCTGACTGGTACCGTGAGTGCCAGGAGGAAAAAATATTATCCCAGAGAACCAAGGGGCTGGGAAGGGACAGGTAATATAAAAAATACAAGTCAAGAGTTGATTGATATACTTAGGTTCTCTGAATCACTGACTGGAATTTTTAACATGAAAGGCTCTATAGACCCATTGACTAGAAGCTGTGGCTTTTTATTTTTAGTAGCCTGCAAGTCTTATCAAAAAGACATCCATGCGCTGTATATTCTGAACATGATTCCTGTCCACAGGTAAGTGTGGATGTTTCGAGGTCCAGCTGTTAGGAGGAGCTACACACTGGTGAGCTAGTCCAAAAGGATACTATTTATAACAATTATGGTGACAATCAGAGTGACAGCTAACACTTACTGTTTATAATAATGAGGAATGTAATTTATAATACAACGAGGAAACCACACTTAGAGAGGCTAAACATTTGCTTAGGACTTTACAATTAGACTTCAAGCTCAGAACCAGACGCCAGAGCCAGGGCTCGAAGTTGTAATGACTGCGAGATTTTCCGCCAGTGTGGCCCCTGTACCACTGGGAGCATAGGAGACAATGTGGGGGGATGTCTATGGGCGAAGAGTTCCATTTGATTAGTTATGTATATTTAGGATTACCTTCTATTTAGGACAAGTGATATTAAATTTCCACTTCTAATAGTGATTTAGTTTCTTTTTCCAAATAAAGGTAATGAGAAAGAGTAAATAAATTTAAAGAAATATATTGAAGCATTACAAAGGCTGAGTTCGGGTGTGGCCAAAATTATGGCTGAAACGTGAGGAACACTATGACTCTACACTGGCCCTCAACCAGTTGGCTTGGATGGAGCTGACAATGATGTCAGTATGACACAGGAGTCGTGCTGGTTCACACACGATGTCCTAGTGGAGGGCTGCTGGGAGCAGAGTCATAATCCCCACCAGGAGAGGTGTCCTCAGCCCCCCTGTTGCACAGATCAGAGCTTCTTTTGCTCTACTTGGATTGCATAGGGGGCCTGTCCCTGGGGCTCCCCAGCTGGGCATTTTCAGCATCCCTGCCCTTTCTGAATCATGGCCACTGCATTTCTAAGAAATCAAATATAGTTTCTCATCAGGATAGGGCAAGGTCCCTAGACTCTAATTAGCGGCACTAACACACCTCATGGAACAGTGGCAGGCTCTGTTTCATGTCTCTTACCTCCCCCAGCTGCCCACAAGATGGGCCACCCTACTACCATCACCACTGCCATGTCCTCCTTCTTCTCTTGAAGCTTAAGTTTCTTCCAAGTTCCTCATCCACTTCTGACTAAGGCAGCGAATAATGAAGCTGCATATTAGTGGCCAGGGAGGGGTTCAGTGTGGGTCCACCCTTGCTGTTGACCTGAGCCATGATACATGTCAGTACTGACCACTGAGCTTCCAGCTTGTCCTGTCTCCTTGAGGACTTGATTCTGACTGCGGACAGGGTGGGGTGAGGGTTGTTTTGGCTGATTCCGAATCCTCACTGTTTGCCTGACTCTAGAGGAGGCCTCCAATGCTGACCATTTGCTTCTAGGCTGATCCTTGAGTTCTAGCCCCTCAGAGCTGAGAGACTGAATGTACAAATGGGTCCAACCATACGTGGAAACAGAACTTGGACCCACAGTGTGCAGCAACCTGCTCAGGAAACCAACCTCTTCATCTACAATAAACCACCCGGGAAGCCAGTCCGCTGTGAGCCGTCCTTGCAGGAAGCCAGCTGCCGTCTCTGGTGACAGTCCAGGGAGCTAAGCAATCCCTTCTGTAACGAGTGACCCCTAAATGGCCAGGACTTGATTACTGACAGTTTTCCTGATTTTTGTCTCCACTTGCAACATAGGATCAACCGGAGAAAGCCAAATATGTACCCTAACGAGTCACGCAGACACCCCACTCTAGATAGCCTGCCTGCAGCTTCCCCAGGCCAACAGCCTCTGATCAGGCACACCTCAAATCCTCTCCTTTTTTGCTCTATAGAGCTGTCCCACTCCTCTGCCTGCCTTGGAGCCTCTGCCAAAAGAAAAGCGACAGTGGCTGACTCCCTGACTACAGAGAAAGCACAGAATAATAAATAGCCTTTGCTTTTCTCATTTGCTTGGTTTTCATTTATTTCCATAGAGTCTGAAACCTGCTTATCGTCCCAGTGCCCTGCCTCATGATGAGTCTCCAGACTGCAGTCTCCTCTGCAGACAATACTCCCTTCCCCTGCTGGGAGAAGAGTGTGTCTGGCTGGTGTGTCTGCAGGAGCACTTCCCCAGGGGAGGGTGCTGGCAGGGCTCAGCTGGACTCCCGGAGCTCTCCTGAGTGAGACAGTGGGTCCCCTGGCTTCTTGTAAGAGCCAGTGACCAGGCAAGACTGTAACTGGGGTTTACCTCTGGTTCCTACTTCATGTCTCAGTCCCATGGGCTCCACGACAGTTGGGGCCTCGCCTTACTCTTGTCAATTCCTCCTTCTCATAGATAAGGTCTGGCTCAGGAGCCCAGGTCCACTAGTGTGGTCTTAACTCCCCGTGGGTAAATTTTCTCTCCCCCGCTGCCTGTCTACATGGCCAAATCCAGCTGCTTGGGGTCTCCTGGTCCCGCCCCTGCTCTGCCTGCAGGGATCTTCTCAGCCCTTACTCCCGCCACCCAGCACACATACTATTGCTGCCTGTATCAGATGCCGGACTAGCCAGCTCTGTTCTCACCACCCCCCTCCCCCATACAGTCGTGTCTGAATCAGAATCTCCCTGCCAGGCTTGGCTCCAGACGAGTGTTTGAACAGCTTGAGAAGGGACCACATGGTGGCGCTATAAAGCCGCTGGCAAACTGCAAAGCTCCAAGGAAGTCAGGATCTGTGTTTTTCTGTTCTTGTGAAATGTCAGAAAACTGAAAACTGGTAACGGTCACAACTTCCAGAAAAATCTTAATATTATTTTGCCCAGGGCTCTTTCTAATCAATGGCTATTGGTGTTTGATACTTGCCAGAGGTCAACCATCCTTCCTCAGCACACATCCCCCTGCCCGGGGCTGTCTTCTCTTTGCACTCAACACATGCACATGTCTGTCCTAAATAGTCTGCCAGTTGCTATAAGCCCCAAAATACACACACGGAGATTTAAGAAAGATTAAAATGTCTTACCTAAGCACGAGTGAAATGATTGCTCCTTTTGTTTTGGTCTGTTATTGTGCTAAACAGTTAGAAGTCTTTTCCCTTTCCACATATGGAGCTGAGCAAACATGCACAAATGAAAACTGCCCACATCTAGAAAAATCCCTCGGCTGCCCTGGCCGATTAGTCATTACATATTTACATAGCAGAGGCAAGGTCGCCCAGGAAATCATACAAACATTTGCTGTGTTCCTGTACCTTCCCTGGCTGATTCAAATTCTTAGGAATTGAGATTTGTTTTGTGCATGGTTTTAAAAACAGCACTGATGAGATTTACTGGACTTCTTATTCTTTAACATGACTGGATGATAGCCTGCTGTTCTCTGAACTTTGTGTCAAAGACAGCAAAACAGTGGGGAGAAATCAATCTTCAGGACCTAGGTGGGGGAGGGGGATGATCTGAATCCTGGCTCCATCCCTACTTTATTTGTGACCTTGCCCAAATGGTCTCAACGTCCTTGACTTTTAATTTGCTTATCTGTGAACCAGGGTAGAGTCTTTGCCTTCCAGAATTGTTTTAGGGGATTAAATAAGGCAAATATGCATAGAAGGGGCATTAAGTAGGTAGTATTTCTGAGAGTAGATTGGGCGCTCACAGAGCATAACCTACAGCCAAGCGACTTCAGAAGGTCAGGAGAGCGCCTCATGCTCCTCTGGAAACCTCTGGAAATGTGGTGATGAAGAGCATGATCTTTTGAGTCAAAAGATCTGAATTCAAACCCTGGTCCTGCCATTTGTGCAGTAGATGAATTCAGAAAAGGGAAACAAATCTTTCCAAGCTTCAGTGTTCCAGTTTGTAATGGTGACAGTTGCAGCCATTACAACACTGAATGAGATAATACATGTATTATGGGTTGAAGTGTGTTTCCTTCAATGAGGCTGAAGTTCTAATCCCTAGTACCTGCAAAGGTGACCTTATTTAGTAATAAGGTCTTTGCAGATGGTCAAGTTAAGATGCAGTCATTAGGGTGGGCCTTAATCTGATACAGCTGCTGTTCTTACAAAAGGAGAAGGTTTGGACACAGAAATACAGCCACCCAGGGAGAGCACCATGTGAAGACGAGGGGAGAGACTGGGCTGAGGCAGCCACACGGCAGGGGATGCCGAAGCTGCCAGCAAGCTGCCTGGAGCTAGGAGAGGGGCCTGGACCAGATCCTCCCTCAGAGCCCTCAGAAGGAACCTTGATCTCAGACTTCCAGCCTCCAGAACTGTGAGATGTTAAATTTCTGCCAAGCCATCCAATTTGTGGTACTTTGTTACAGCAGCACCCACCCCCCTTCAAAACTCACACAGTATTGGGTGCACTACCCTAGTGGCTGGCACCTCGTAAGCATTCAGCAAATGTTAGATGTTATTGCTGATGCTGTTGGCCAGTGAGATTTCTCACCTTTTCTAAGACGATTTCCTTTGCACACAAATATTCCTACCTGGTTTCTCCTGCTTGGTGAGTAGAACATGCATTTTATTGTGATGCTTAAATACGTGCAGAAAAGACTATACAAAGGCAGATTTCAATCAAGCTGTTGTTTAGGTTTTTGAAACATCTAAACACCTTGAACAGAGCATCACTAAATAGAGAGCCCCGTGTCTAAAGAATGGTTTTATAAGAGGTGAGGGTGGAACCAGAAAACATCCCTGATTAAATTGTGAGGTATTCTGGCAGGTGTCAGGCCCGCGGCCAGCAGGAGACATATCAGTAGCTCCGAGGAGAGGTTGGGGCATCCTGACTTGCTTGTCACGCATCTCTGGGGAGTGGAGTTCACCTCATGAAAAGCACAAGGTTCCATCAGGACTCCTCAGTGGCTGCTTTATTTTACACTTGTCCTGTGACAACACGGAAGAAGCAGTTTTATTTTCTCCTTTCTTGGTATGACTTGGCTGGTTGGTGACAACTACTTAGAAGTCTTGATCGATCTGGCCTGTGACTTGAGTTGGAATCTTGACATCCAAACTGTCCCTAAAACCACCTACACAGCAAGGAAGCTCACATAGCCTCTGACTCACAGAGGCTGTTTAACCATAAGTTTGCATTGGAAGAGTAAGTGAACTGCGAAAATAAATACCTATTTTACTAATACTTGATTCTCGATCTTAAGGATCATTAGGACAGTCTCACTGGAAATATGTTTTAAAAATTTCAGGTAGGAAGCATCGGTGGTCTTTCTTTCTGGAGAAATTAAAATTACAAGCATTCCCTGCCTCTCTGATGTGGAGTGTACAAACAATCCCTAGAAATGAACTGTCTGGAGTATTTTATTTCTTAATTAATCCAGTTTTGCTATTTGGTATAAATAGGATGATGTTCAAGCCGAATGAAAGAACAGAAAAGTTTAGGGAATACAATCCAAGGAGGAGTTTTAACTCCCTCCACATCTGCTGCTCTATTTTGCTTTAAATTAGATTTTAAAATTAATTTAATTTTCACTGGAAGCTGCTTTCCCTCACCCCTTTCTTTCTCTTTTCGTTCAGAAGCTGGTCCTCCTGTCTGTGTACTTTTGGAGACCAAATGCTACTTTCTACATCATGTGATAATTCTTTTTCCATCTTAAAAAAAAAATCACTTAGTTATATTGCAGTAAGAAAAGTATGACATTGGTTGGCAGGACTAAGGTTATTGGTATATGAAAAAGACAGTCTCCCCCACTTATGTTAGAAATTCCACTCTATAGGTCACCTCTTTCTGGAAGCACCGCCCTCTTCCAACATGCAAATACTCAAGGGAACACACCTGACACTTCTTCCCTTTAGTTTCCTCATCTGGAAAACAGAGACCCAGCAAGGGGTAACTATTTCCTAGGGCTATTGTTAAGAATCACATTTTTATGTATTAGTAAATACTCAGCCTTCCACGAAGCACGTTTGTCTGCTGACCACAGGTATCATATAAGAAAATAATGGTAAAATAAAATTAAGGAATCAGGATTAAGGACATTACACACAATACTAAGAAAGTCAAGACTAAGGAAAAACATGTTGCGGGCGGTGAGGTGGGCTGAGCTACCTAATTTCTGTAATTAGGCTTTAAATATGACTGAGATTCTTGAAACTTCATGAGTCAAGAATCAGTTACATGATTTTCATGATCAGAGAGAAAGGTAAGGCTTTTAAGAGATGACGTGTGGAACTTGAATGTCCTCAGCCCCATCCCCGTGTGGGGCAATGAGGTAACATTCTCATTAATAATACACTTTCCCATAAGTTCTGGCCCCCACTTATCGATCTTAGCCCGTTGTGTTTCACCTACTGGTCTCCTCCACTTCCCTGCATCTCCATGTTCCCTCCAGTCACCCTCGCAAGCAGTAACAGATCAGCAACCACAAAACAGGAATAGTGGCCTTTAGATGTCCTTCGTGCAAACAGACCTGGGCAGGGGGTAGTCAGTGGTCCCTCACTGCTGATTACATGAAAGCAGGGTCCCATTTATGGTCTCTGGGATCCTACCTCTACGAGGCTCTCTTATGTAAAGTGCTCCATAAATGTAGGACTGCATCCGTGTGTCACTGTGACATTCAGAAGTTGTTTAATAGGTGGAAACAGGAGACTGAAGACACACATGGTCCCTTCTCCAGCTTTGTTTTGGCTCTAGGCTTTTTGGCACTCGTGTTAAACCCAGGTTCCTCTGTGCTCCTCACAAACATAGGTGTCTGTCTACTCGGTACTGTCTTAGTCTCCTCGGGCTGCTGTAACACCGCTACAGATGGGTGGCTGGTAAACAACAGAAACTTATTTCTCACACTTCTGGCAGCAGTGAAGTCCAAGATCAAGGTGCCAGCAGATCTGGTGTCTGGTGAGGGTCTGCTTCCTGGTTCATAGATGGCTGCCTTGCTGTGTCTTCTTGTGGTGGAAAGAACGAGGGAGCTCTCTGCGGTCTATTTTATAAAGGGCACTTTATAATCCTATGCATGAAAGCTCCACCCTCATGACTGACGCACCTCCCAAAAGCCCCATCTCCTGACACCAACACGTGGGATTTCAACATGTGAATCTGGGGAGGACAAAAACATTTACTCTGTGGCCATGGCAGACTCCTCTGCTTGGCAGTGGGGTGGGAGCCACACGGAGAACCCAGATCTTTTTTTGCTTGTTTGTTTTCAATTAAAAATGGACTCTTTTTTTAGGCTGACTTTTTGAACATAGTTGAAACCCCCTGAGTAGGAGGGATTACTAAACTGTTAGGGAGCTAATATAAATCAAAAGGGGGAAAGAAACTATCAAGTGTTTATCTGCTTCTGGGCTGAAGGACTGGGCTCCTGACCAATAGCCTCTTAAGCTTTCTCCCCTCCTTTCTTGGAAGGCCTCCTCGCACGGCACCCCATGCACCCTCAGGAGAGTATCACCCTAGGCTGTGTAGCACCATCTCTTATTACCTTGTCTGTCTCTCTTTCTGGCTTCTGGAGTTGCTTGAGGGGAGGGTTCTTGCTTTTTTTAAATCTTTTAATCTCAGTATCACTAAATCCTAGCAGATGATTAGCTCCAAGAGAGCAGACAACACATTTTGTTCTTTTCTCTATCCCCTACCCAGTTTCCAATAAATATTCTTTACATGAATAAGTTACTCAGCAAATTGTAGGCATTAATAAATATTTACTCAATTAATGAATTGTATGTGGAAATCAAATCATATTTTCATGCAATAAGGAAGTTAACTATTTTGAGAAACGTTTAACATATCCTATGTAAAATGACCATCTTATCCACTTAAAATCTCTAGTCCTATCTCAGGGCTTTTCTGATTACACAAATAATACATGTCTCTGGCAGAAAATCTAAAAAAGAAAGAAGAAAATAAAAATGATCCAGAATCCTCCCACATAAAATAAAGAACTGTTAATATAGCCCTACTCATACTGAACACACCATTTTTTATTCTGCTTTTTACCTAATCATGAATGCTTCCCTACATTGTTAAATCTTTTTAGTTAACATCCTTTTTAATGGTTATACAATATTCTGACTTATTGATGTGTCTTAATTTTATTTAGCTATTTCTCTTATTACTTCTACTGGAGGTTGGTTTTGATTTTTCACTATTATAAATAACATTGCAGTGAAAACTGAATATAAATTT